TTCACACCCTTTGGAATCGGACGGCGTATATGTTTGGGTGAAAGGCTGGCGCTCGCGGACCTCTTCTACATAACTGTCCGCCTATTGAAGTCCACAAAAGGCTATGTGTTTGGGTTGCCATCGGGTGAAGGAACGGCTGATTTAGAGCCCGATCCAAACGTACTACTACTGAACACACCTAAAACTTTCGATATTATTATTAAAATGAATAATTAAAAGCCAACCAAAATATATTTATAATAATTTTAATAATTATACATTAAAATTAATATAATGTAAGTAATTACATGAGAATTATATTTTTAAATATTTAATTGTATTAAAACAATTTTAAGTATAATTATAATAAGAATAGTAAAACTTATATAGATAACACGGTAAATGAAAATTCAATATAATTAAACCTTTTAAAAATAAATGTAATAATAATATGAGTTTTTTATTTAAAACATGGTTTTATAGCTTTTTGAGTAATATTTCATAGGGTTTGGGAACTCTAAGAAATAAGATATTAGGGTCGGGCTCTAAATCAGCCGTTCCCTCACCCGATGGCAACGCAAACACATAGTCTGGAGTAGACTTCAATAGGCGGACAGTTATGTAGAAGAGGTCCGCGAGCGCCAGCTTTTCACCCAAACATATACGCCGTCCGATTCCGAAGGGTGTGATCTCTAAGAAATAAGATATTAGGGTCGGGCTCTAAATCAGCCGTTCCCTCACCCGATGGCAACGCAAACACATATTCTGGAGTAGACTTCAATAGGCGGACAGTTATGTAGAAGAGGTCCGCGAGCGCCAGCTTTTCACCCAAACATATACGCCGTCCGATTCCGAAGGGTGTGAACCCCGGGAGGGCTGACATGTATTTGTTGTCCTTATCTAAGAACCGGTTGGGGTCGAAGACATCCGGTTTGGGCCATAGGTTGGGGTCACGGGATACGGATAATAGGTTTCCCATAACTATTGTGTCCTCTTTAATGAGGTGTTTGTCTGAAATTATCCGAAATGTGTTACAAATATATATTTTTATGTTTTAGAGTTCTTATACCTAATTGATAGTCACAGAGAGCCACGTGTGGAACTCCTAACGCGCGACCCCTTTATACCTAAGAGTTTCAGCGATGAATGCATTGACATAATGGCAGTCATTCTTGTGGTGATTGTCTGCCACTCTATCGCCGATAATATCATTGATTTCGTGTCTCATTCTTAACTGCATTTCTATATTGTTTGCCATCAATAGTATAATCCATCGCATCATATACTGTGTTGTGTCGGAACCGGCTATTTATGATT